CCCGCCCCATCTCGCCCCGCCCCGGCGCGTGCACATTCCGACGGCCGTCGGGGTGAGGAGATGGCCACGGTGTGCACGACCACCCTCTCCTCCCCAGCCGAAAAATGATCGTCACTCGGTCGCAGCGAATCGATGTGTATTCCACATATTGTCTCCGACAGACCGACAGAAAGTGCGGTTATTTCAATAATTTTAATCGGGTGAGTGCGACTCAACTATATTTTTTGGTGACGTCGTGCCGTGAAAGGCCGCTGGATTACGTTTGCAAACCTAGTGTGTTTAGTGCTTCGGACCTAGCATATTGACGGCGGCATAGAACTGACGGAAGACGTTCCTCGCCGAGGCCCTGTTGAAGCGGCCCAGGCCCCTGCACCTCAGCGCCGGCGGTCTGCCCGCGGCTAGCATGACCAGAAGCAGGGCGCGGGCCTCCCGGAGCTCGACGCCGTCGGTGGCCGCGTGGTAGGCGGACCTCGCCAGCGAGCGGCTGGCGTCCGACATCTTCTGGCTGAAGTGAGACAGCGGCAGAAAGACGTTGACCACGGGGATGAGGAGGGCCAATGTGGTGGCGTTCGCGTCGCCACCCACCACCTACGCATTCGCAAAACAAGTGCAGCGCACGCGATCACGGAGGTCCGGAGTCCGACGGTGCGTCATATGAAAACAACTGAATGTAACTCGATGTACCTGCACGGTGGCGAAGAGCGAGTTGCAGAACGAGCTGGCCAGGATGTGCACGAGGTTGCCGGCGAAGTAGTCGGTCAGGTCCAGGACCGTGCTGCGCAGGTGCATGTGGATCCTGACCACGTCGCGGACCTCCTCCGGGGTCGCGCCCCCCTGGACGAGCAGGCGCAGCGCCAGGGCGTCGTGGAGGCCGGCCGCGGCCGCCGCGCAGAGGCAGAGGGCGGTCACCGTATAGAAGACGGAGCAGACGGCCAGGAGGAACCAGCACCCCCAGAACATCCGTCCGCAAGACACGCCCCAGGCCCCCGCGTGTGGCACGAACGGCCAGAGCGGCAGTTGAGGCTCGTCGGCCAGGAGCATGTCCGCGCACAGGCTGGCGAAGACGAGCACGGCCATGGGCACCGTCACCGTCGCGAACATCGTCACGCCTCGCAGCGTCCGGTCCGTCCACTTCTGTAAATCGGTAAAAAGAACGCGGTAACGTGGTAAAAATATAAAGTGTGTGAAGAAGAAATAAAATGAGAACAAGCTGCTGGAGTACGCTGTCGCAACTACCTTCTCTCCACGACCGGCCTCCGCGGCCTGCACCAGGCTCTTCAGCTCCAGCAGGAGGGCCGACAGGCGGCCCTGGCGGATCACTGCCAGGCAGGCGCTCGACGAGTAGCAGGAGGACAAGTTCGAGATCGGCGCCCTGGCCGTCTCCAGGGAGTCGAGCCTCTGCAGCGCGGTGCCGGTCATGAACACGGCACACAGCCCCATGAACATGCCCGAGAGCTTCAAAATATTATTGAACTGTGAGGCATTTGATTGAGAAGAAGGTTGGGAAGATCAATAGTGCCAGAACACCTCCAGCCTCCAGCTATAATTCTTCTTCACAAGCCTTCTCCAAAAGAACATTAATCAATCAAGTGACATGCAGTCAATTTCACCCTTCCCAACAAAAAAAAA